GAGGGGGCCCCCCTGGGGGCCCCCGGGGGGGCCCCCGGGGGGGGCCCCCAGGGGGGCCCCCTCGCTGCAGTTGCTGCGAAGGTCTGCAGCCTCAAAGAGACTTTAGAAAATGCTTGTGTGGCCCCGCAGCAGGAACTCGAGCTTGCTGCAGGGACTGTCTCCTTTTTGGCCAAGAGTCTGGGCGCAGACAGCTGCAGCAGCAAACCAGGGGCCCCCGCGGGGCCCCTGGGGTCTCCCTTGGGGTTTTTTGCCCCCGCGGACCACCTGGGGGCCCCCCGAGGTTTCTTGGGGGCCCCCGAGGGCATCCTGGGGGTCCCGGGGGGGCCCCTGGGGGCCCCCTGGGGGCCCCCGGGGGGCACCGGGGGCCCCTGGGGGCCCCTGGCGTGGTACCTGCGGGAAGTCTGTGGGGCCCACCCGGCGCAGTGCGCCCAGGCCTTAGAAATAGTGCGGGACTTGGGGGCCCTTGCTGGGGCCCACAAGGGGGCCCCCCTCCCTGAGGGGGGCCCCCCTCTATTTCTGAAGTCTGTGGGGCTCCCGCTGCTCCAGAACCCTAATAAACTCAGTGAGAAGCCGGCCCCTGCTGCTGCTGCTGCTGCTGGTCATGGTGGTGCTGCTGCTGCTGCTGGTGCTGCTGCTGGCCATGATGGTGCTGCTGCTGCTGGTTATGATGGTGCTGCAGCTGTCGCTGCTGGTTATAATGGTGCTGCTGCTGCGGGTTATGGTGCTGTTGCTGCTGCTGCTGGTTATGGTGGTGCTGCTGCTGCTGTTGGTTATGATGGTGCTGCTGCTGCTGCTGGTTATGATGCTGCTGTTGCTGCTGCTGCTGTTTTGAAGCACGCTAGCACTTTGTGCATTTAAATGCTTCAAATGTATTTATGATTTAATTTGGCGAATTGCGAATTTGTAAAAACATTTAAAATTCATTACGCGTTTACGGGTGTACAGACACCTGAATGTGCATGCAGTCTATCTGAACACTTGAATGAGTTCTTTTTCCGTTTTTTTCGGGATTTGTTCAATTTCAAAGATTAATTTGACTCTTTTTACAAAATATATGAACAAATGAATAATAAAAGACATATTGCATGCGTTTTTCTCTTCAAACGATGCCAAGACACCTCGCAAGACACCTGCGTTTTGGCTGCTGCGGTGTACGTACAGTCGAAGTGGCACTTTCCTACCAAAAAGCTGCTGCTGCTCTCGTGCAGCAGCCAACGAGAAAGAGCAGCAAATGGCCAGAGTTTTGCTGCTGGTCGGAGACAGAAAAGGAGTTGCTGCTGCTGCAGCAGTGCTTCTGGCCGCTGGTTGCGCAG